AACTGGCCCTTTCCACAGGATGTTTCCCCTTTGGCAGCCTCCTGTTCTCAGAAGGGACACTGTACTGCAAATAAGCACACTACCGAATGTGCAAGATTTAGATGACTGTCAAAACCTAAAACACTACTATGATTACCACTGGAAAGACATTTGGTGGCTGTTTAACCATTACACCACACATGTCTTATTTGATTCCAAAGCACAAAGTGTTTATTAGATTGGAAAATACAATTAATCTGATTTTGCCATCATTTCAGGTACAGTAAATGAGTGATTATTGTCTTTTCTTTAAAGACTGTCATGGTCTTAGTGTACTTAAAGTGGTCTGACCAATTTCTGCTGGTCTAGAGGTATGGTCTTTGAAGGATACTGTTCAGCAGGTGATGCAGACCTCTTTCTTCAACAGCATGAAACCTCAGGACAAGGTTGAATTTAGCTCAATTAATGTTAAGTGGTCAAAGACATTGGTGGAGCTGTGCTAACGATGAACCCAGTCAGGTCACCAAGAACAGGGTGAAAGGAGAAGTTACAGACACTTTAGCCATGACACAGGACAGGAGCGATGCACCTCTGCTTAACAGAAACCCATAAAACCTGCACTTCAGGAGCTGATCTGGGGACTCCTGCTCTAGGACAAGACCTCAACCACAGAGGCGCTGCTGCTGAATACATCTCAACAGTATATTTCACTGATTACTTCCATACTACCACTTTAGATTAGTGACCTGGTAAAAGGTCTTTGCCTTTGCTTGACACTCCCTTTGTTTCTGTAACACAGTACATTGCTGTTTATGGTATTCAAGGTAGCAAACCTGTTTTTTTGCATTCATTGGTTCTAGTTTTTATGTATAACACTATGGACAAAGTGCCACAAATAATCTTTAGTTAAGTCACAGTTTTATGAAATAAGTCTTTTGAACAAATATCACTAAGGGACTCTAGAGTTGCTTGTCTATCCCTCAGAAATGGGTTCATTAAGAAGGCAGAAGATTCAAGACACTGGAAAGTTTTCATTTTTAAATAAGAAAGGTTGTTATGCATTTCACTTGATGTTTGCGGTTATACTCAAATTTTTCAGGTCATCACTAAATTCCAACAAATATTTGGAGCAGAACAATAATAATCAAAAGTACTCTAATGTCGTTTCCCATGCATTTGCCAGCCAGCTAGAACCTTGGGCTGGAAAAAAAATAAATTTAAAAGAACAGCAGAGGAGAAACAGCTAATGAAAGTAAGCTGTCTAGTGACACTCTGAACGTACGTCACCTTCATTATTAGACTCGCAGTCCTTTGATCTCAAGGAACTGAAGTTAAAAAAAGAAAGAGAAAAGGACCACAATATTCAATATGTAGGGTCTCATGGGTTGTGACTAAGGCTGCATTTGCAATTACTTGGTTCTTGGTGAATCCCTGGAGTCAGCAATCAGTCCACCTGTCGGCTGTGTGGGCAGAGTGTATTTAGTGCCTGAGTGTTAGTGTAGACAGTCTGTTTGCTCTTGTGTGTAATTACCATCGCTGATGGTGTCTGCGGCCAGCTTGCCCACTAGGGTCCTGTCAATTGTCACTTTTTCCAGCTGTGGCCCTGAGAAGCTCAGAGACACCAGCACACCTGAACCTAGGATCAGCTGAAAACACAGAAACACCAGTTAGCACCAATGCAGGACAAGAGCTGGCACCAAAATAACTCTATTCAAAGGTTTTTTTTTATTGTTAAATCCTCCTTTTGCAGCAAAGCAAACTGAGTGTGAACTGTCATTAGGTTTTTCGTGTTCTTTTGCCTTTGGAGGTTAGACAAACACTTTCGATTGACTTTAGCTCAACAGCATCTCTTTTTGGGGGACTCAGCCACAGCTAAAGAAAAAAATATGTCCAACTTTTGAAAAAAACATTTTTTTTCCCCAGAAGATATCTTTTAAGAAAGAAGATGCGCTCACTCAGAATCACCACAGTTAAACGGGATGTTGGAAAACAAAACCTGTGTATTGTTTGCTGAAACTGTGAAACAGAACCACCATATTAGCAGCTCTCAAAGAATGTGAGCCAGTACAGTGAAAGAGGAGAGGGGGAAGTTGCTAGATAATGTCACAATTTCACAATTAATTGTAGGTTATTTTACACAGTTGAAGATAAATTAAGCAGACCAAAAAACACAAGAAATTCAAGTTACAATCAGTTAACTTGTGAAGCTCACAATATTTTGTAGAAATCGTGCACTTTAAATACACTATCCAGCCTTAACGCCCACAGTGTTTATATTTAATACAAAGCTTCATTGAAAGCCAAACTGAACTTTTATTTCCTTGATTTCATGTATTCAATGTATTCACCAGGACCTAAACCCTTCCCAAGAAAGCCTTATCCTCACATCAGGAAAGCACTGTTCTCTCATTTGAGGAGATGCGGTTCTGCTGTAAGCAAAAGCATTGTGCTGCCCAGTGAAGCAAGCAAGGATGCACTTTGACAGCATCACTGGTGGAATTCCAATGACTGTGGTTTGAGGTACATTGGTTCTGTCAGAGACACACAGACAGATGATTTCAATCAAGTATAGCAGTGAAGCGGTTAACTTCACTTGAAACAATTGTGGGAGCCTAATGGAGAATGTAATCTTTTCTAAACGCTACAATCAAATGCCTGTTTCAAGAGCATATGGACCCATAGCTGAGCTGCATAAATATGCTCTCAATTCTATATCACCGTCACCATCGTATGCCTACAGCTCACGGGGCTGAAAAGTGGTTCAGGTCCGTTGGTTTACAACACACTGGCTGAGTGCAGCAGCATTTACCTGACAGAAGTGCTTGTTCTTCCATTTGCTTCGAACACACCGACTGCTGTGGAGCAGCTCCTGAAAGAGAACAGAACAGTCAGCCATTTGCAGCCTGCACACGGTTACCTCTGGGTAAGGTGTTTCTGATTTCAAATTGGTAGAGATTAGCGAGGTGCACAAACAAAGATGCATCTGTTTTAAGATGAGTCGCCATGCTGGGACACAGTTACCTGCACTCCGCTGGCTGATTCACTTCAAATATTGAGACTGTTGACAGAGGGGAAATGGCAATGAGGGAGGGGGGGGGGAGAAGCACAATTGTTTGTTGTCAATCTCATATAAGGTTTTTTTAAAAAAAACATTACCTCCAGCTCCTTGAGTGTGTCTCGAAGTTTCTCGGGACGCTTGTTCTTGAGAGTCCATGGATAGCCACGAGCTGGCAGGAGAGAAGCCATGAAACTTGATACGTTTGTTATTCGACCGGTTCGGGCATATGCTTAGGTGAAAGCGCACCAGAAAGCAAAGGTTCTTGCCTAGCAGGGAAAAGACACTGTTAAGAAAAGAAGGTATGACTGAAGTCTTACCTCCCCATGAGTTATTAGTGTTTTTTTGCTCGGTTTTGTCAGGGGAGAATCAATTGAATTATATTTTATAGTCCCTATATCGTCCCTTTAATTCACAAGATAGTTTTAGAAGTCTTCCCTGAAAAGTAAACCACAAATCCTTTAGCGGCTCATGATAGTCCTCAACAGCACATTCACCCTAGACCATCTACTCACAGCCTGGAAGAAAGGCAAGGATCGACACACAGACTTTATTCAGCAGCGAGGAGCTTGGAATGTGGGGTCAAATATGCCAGCGAGTATCTTTTAAAACCTGTTCTTGTTGGAAAAAAGTACAGTGTGAAATAACTATTTAAGGACTGCATAATACTGAACTGATAAATGTCTTACCTGTGCAAAACAGCAAAGTGTGATATATCTTGATTAGTTTTGTGGAAAAAAAAATATTTGTCTTGGATGCTGAAACTGGCCTGCCCTTCACCTCTGCCAACGTTCTCAAACAAAAGAGCAGAATATATGTTTCTCAGAATAAAGAATCCTCTATTGCATATGTTTTTATGTGTCTGCTTAGAGAGTATATTTTGAAACATTCTACGTTTTGCTCATCCTTCTACCCACGCTGTATCACATCAGGAAATCTCTGGATGGAAAAACATCTCAAATTAAACACAGTATGGGGAAAACATTTTTCCTCCACAGATAGAGAAGTTTGGCTTTATCAAAATAACAAAAGAATGATAAGCAGAAAAAAAATGCACCTGTTAGGACATAGTAATGTAAGATGCTAGGCAGAAATGGGACAAGCCCAAGGTAAATGGCTGCATAAATGCTGTATAACGAGCGAATGCAATCACAAGGGAACAAGCATCCTGGAAAATTAGTTTATTCTAGAAACGTTTTAAAAAATAACATGACCTTAAAATTACATATGTGACAGTTGAGGAAGATTCTTTTCACACAGGAAATCACTGGTTTGTATACGGTATCGTAAAATTATTATTTCCACAAAAAGCTTAGGGAAGTGTCAGTCGGTGTGCTGCACTGCCTTGAGCAATAACTAAAGGGTTAAATGGCTGAAAAGACTCAGAACGCCACCATCTGCTGCATTATCCTTACAAAAATGTTTTAGTTGCTATTTTTCTAAGCTTTTTTCTTTATCTGCAGCTCAGACTTCACAATGCATAGCATAAAATATGTACTTTTTGTCGGGCTCCTGTTGAATTTTCAAGTGAATTTACTTATATTAAATACTGTCTATTTCACAAATGTACTACAAAAATTCCACTTGCAGTGTTTTCAATCAAATGCAGCAGGTAATGAACACAAATCAAACACTTCCAATGACTGCATTTTTGCCTTTAATATTGCAGGTACTGTATATCTAGAAATCTTGAGCAGATATGCTCAAAACTTCACAGAGCAAACAGCTATTTTTTTTTCTCCCCTAAAAATCTGAATTCAATTCACTTCCCAGCTTGACGGGGAACAATTTCGCTAAAGTTAAAAAGGCAGTAAATGGACCAACTGAGGTAGCATTTTTATTTGGGCTCAATTTACAACCCCTTACGTGTAATACGATATTGACACTAAATAAATGCCGCTCCACTCTGCATTACATATTTCACATCCCCACTTAATATTGTTCACTCCCTGTTACAAAAAACTTGTAATTTCCCATAAGGCTTCCCTCCAGCGAAAAAGTTAATTGAATTCTCTGTTGAGTTCAGGCACTGCATATACATTTGCATTAATATGGAAACGAGGTCTGTTTTTTAAGATGCTGTAATCAAATCAAATCTGTTTTTAAACCATTAAGAAATTTCCTTTAAAAGAGCAAGAAACTAAATAAATCAATTTAAATAAATAGAGAAGTGATGGCAGCACAGAGCAGTGTGTTTGTCTCCTGATAAGGGTGTTTATATTTCCCTTCTGGGCACCTGGTTTGAATCCAGAGTAGGTCTAGTGATTGAGAGTTATTTCTGGATGATGGCTATACTATATTAGCCCTTAATGATACAATAATGTGCAGGTTTGAACCCCAATACAGAGGAAGCAGGAAATCCCCCCCAACAACACTGAAGTGCCAACTCAGGACAGATAAATTAGTATTTTTTTTAACATCAATATAAGCATCAGCTGTAGATGACAGGTAGAAAAAGAGCATGAAACATGAAAAGGAAATTAAGACCTGGGTTTGCTTTTTCATTAACGTGGCATGCCTTTGTGGGATGGGTCATTCGAACTACAACAGCTAGCGAATGGTTTCACCAACAAGCTTCTTCATTGCAATGCCCTATCGGTTTCCTCTTTCTTAAATTGCACACAACACAATAGCACAGAATGTCATCCTCTAAAAATGTTTTGTTTTGGGCTTTTAGTTTATTGTTTAAAGAAACGAATGTGCTCTACTCAATACCAGACTAGATGCCAGTTGAGATGAAGTCGAGATTCAAATGTCACCCTCACTCTAAAAACTAAAACGGTTTGCATAAAACGTTTGATTTCTTACAATTTTTATTGTGGATAGTGTTTTTTATTTAGTGATCGATTTTGATTTTTTAAATTTAGTTTGTTGAATGGAAGACAGACTTATTTGTCCACTTTATTTTTTAAGGTGACCAATAAACATGGATACGGCCAAAAGGCTTGCATCAATACATTTATGCACTCTCTCCTTCTTTTGTTTTGATGTTCAATTGCTTCTGCAAAGATGTCTATCACTTGCTTGTGTGTATTAGCTTTTATTAGCTAGTTTACATAGCAGTTTACAATAGCAACTGAATGAAGAGAGCTATGTGATATTTATCTGATCTACAGCCTATCAAAACACCTTTTGTCGATGGGCAAAATATCTAATAGGATTTCAATAATCACAGTACAAGGATTTTGACACTGTGCTTCTGTGACTAAGTTAAAATGAAAAACACAGCCAACACATTACCCAAGTAAAAAGATTAGTGTCCTGCAAATTCATTGAAATCACAAGAACAACTTGAGAGAATATGGATGGCTTTTTCTGTAAATATTTCTACTCTCCGCCAACTCAGAATCTTAAACTACAAAGTTTGTGCTCGATTCAAACAAATAAATAAAGGCTTACCAAAAAAACAGGTAGAACTGCTATAAAATAAGGTGACTTACTTTCTAAAAAATGCTGCTTCTCTTCAAAGTAGTGACGTTCAGTCGGTGTTACTAAAAAACAAAAATGACAAGTTATTTGGTAGAGTATGCACTCGCATTTTATATGTTCTACAAGAACAGTTTCAGTGTTCTATTTTCTGCTGCTAGTGTCTTCAAACCTCCTTTTAAGTGTTCAGAGAGGGGAAGAAAATGTAATTTGCACATTCACAAGCCACAGCCTCAACTTGGCAGTGAATAAAATACTTCTGTAGCTACAACAGGTGGGTCAGGACCACAGCACTCCTTGTATTATCGGATAGTGAGATGCCTTGAAACTGAATCCAGTTCTTCTCTGTCTGTCAGCAGCTCTGAGCAGACAATATATTACAGCCACACCCTGAACAAAGGTGCCACACAAGCTTCCTCCTTAACCTGCCCCCAAACAGGAAGCAACCTTAGCTGGAAGGACCTTTTGGCAGTTCAAGAAACTTCCAGGATTAATAGAATTAATCAGATAAAGACCCTTTATTATACAAGAAGAATCTCACTATTTTTTATAAGGCACCTGCTGGGAGGGAAGCTGAGCTGATCCTGACAAATGAGCCTGTGACTCCCCCTGCTGGATCAAGCATGCCATGACAAGCTAGTAACGTCAAGGATGCTCAAATAATTACTGCCTCATAAGAATATAAAAACGGCAAAAATCAATTTGCACAGTTTCAATTACGCAGAAATGAGTCAGCTCTTTCTTTCTCCCTCTCTCTCTGTCTCTCCCCCCTCTTTCACTCAGTTATCAAGCAATACTTTTGTAATCCTCAGAATTAAAAGGATTTCAGCAAAGAGCAGCATCTCTACTGAAGATTTTAATGAAAGGGACACCAGACTAACTCTAAAGTGCTTCAGAGAGCAGGGAAACACCCACTTGATTAAGAATCATGAAGAAAGAAAGAAATCAAATGAATGGAAACAAAATAAGGAGCTCAGACTCACTGGCACTTGAATAGCTTAACCTGCACATGGATTTTAGAGCCTCAATCACTGCCCACTGGGATGAGGTCAAGAGATGCCTGTCTTAAACTAAGGTTACCGATGCCAAGATTACAGTTCTACCACATAACCTGCACAAAGAAATTAACAAAACATGGCATACGAGAACTGATTTTGATCAAACTGAATGAAAAAGCATACTTAGAGATTCATAATAATTAGCATTTTATGTCTGACTTTATCTTAAATCCTCTGTTTTAAACACCCTTTTCTGTGATTTAATCTCAGTAAGGATAGTGTGTTGTTGACCAAAGGAGAGTTGCAAAAGTACTGATTGCCTTGGTACACCAGTAACACAAACAGCTCCACTGAGTAAATAGTTAGCAAAATTGTTCAAAGTAAGTGGCTTAACAGGGGTTTAACAACAAAAACCATAACACCATAAACTGAGTTATCAATTCTGAATTACTGCTCCTTGATTCTTTGAAAGAGAAAGGGGATGATTACTTTAGCCAAATCTATCACACAGCCATTCATTTCTATAACAAAATTATTATAATTGAACCTTTCAAACACAGCTATGTAGTTTAGAAACAAAAGGCTGTGTTTTAGGCATTAAACAACATTTTCAGCATTAATTTTGAAACAATCTCTGAGGTTGAAGCAAAAACTTTCTCAAAGGAATTTAGCCTGTTTAATGGCAAAAATAAAATCTGGCGTTACGCAACATGGCTTAATTTGCTAATCTCCTGCAACCCTGCAAACTTTAAACAGCTTTCATATCTGAAAGAACAACAAATAATGACAAAATAAATACAGAGGTTCACTCAAGAAAGGATGTTTTATTCTTTTGGAAAGGAAGTATTAAGAAATCTGATAGCAAATGTTACAGCAAATTCATTACACTACAGAAGTTCTGATACCTGTCTCACCACTTATATAGTAACACTATCACTCCACACAGCTGAATCGTTCTTATAAATGTGGCTGCTTTTGGATATAAAATGGACTCAATGGCATTTTCACAGCCATAAAAAATATCTTATACAACAACATAAGCTTAGTATTTTCTATGAACACCTATTACATTTATCTGTGTTGCCAAGACTTTGAGAAATAAGAAATTATTTTTTGTATTGTTAAATTGTAAGCAAAAAAAGCTAAGTTCTGTGAATTGTTGTGGGCCTGAGTGATTAAAGAAAGCTATTCTTTGGCATGTTTCATTCTTGTTCATTGAAAGAGATATTCAGATGGTTTTCAATATGTTGCTTAAGGCTAAAAAAACATCTTCAAAACTGTGATATTAAGATCTGAACTTGCTTATATGGCCCCAGTGGACACTATTTAATCAACAGTGATTAAAGATCTTCATCTTTATTCTTTTGAGTTTTGGAAATGTCACGCCATATACCTGCAACTGTTGTCATTGCTAGGAAAAGGGCAAAAGAAAAAAGTTTTTTACCTGGTTCCCCTTTATCATAGTACTGATACGTGCCAATATCAGTATCTGTGGACAAAATAAACACTGTTAGAAGTGAACAGATCAGCAACTGTGCGCTACAGGATAAACAATCATTATCTTCCCATGTCCAGCGCCATCTGGTGCATAGTGAGAGAGATAAGACCAGAGACGTGGAAGGAACGGATTTGCAGCAATGGATTTTAATAAAGGGAGATCACTATGCCCATCAATGCCTTTACCCACAAGGATATCTTTCTTTCCTAAATCAGCTCCTAGGAAGCGCTGGCATTATTTTTCATGGCACCAAAACTATGTGACTTTCACAATGCACCAATTTTCTTTAGGCATAGGTCAGCACTGGCGATCTATTTTCATTTACCACTGGATGCATGGATCACACAAAAGATCCATACAGCACTTACACAGTTATTAAAATCATGGCAAAATCCAAGCCAAACTTAACTGCAACAGGAGATGTTCGTACAAGTAATTCTTGGTGCTGCCTAGTAATTATCGCTCACTTCTTTCAAATTACATAACATTTAATGGTACATTAAAAAAGAAGATGAAACCTGAGGGCAATGGTCTCCATTTGAATTTGAATGTGGGACTTATATGTCCTACACAGCTGGGTTTGCTTGAATAGACACATTGCCTATGACCGAATGCTTAATTTATGTGTTTGTGGGAGACAGGCCTTGTGAATAGACTAGAAATAAGAACACTGTGTACCTCTATTACATAGAAGTGACAATAACCTTAAACCTTGCCACATACTGCCAGAGTTTCCAGTCTAAAGACAATCATCCCATGTGAAAGGTTATTAGAGTATGGATTAAAACATCTTTGAAACAAAATCAGACAAACAAGAGCGAATCAATCTGTCTGAATACATACAATCTAGCATACTGTGTCTGTCTGTACTGAGCAGAGAAGCACTCATCATTGCCATCCAGAGGAGATAGACAACAGAGGTGTAATGTAACAACAGATTTCTTTTTCTGTCTTCCTTGATTTAAGGTGACATGTAGCCTCTAACCCATTTTAACCCTGGGTGGGACAGAGATACATCCCCCGATGTTGTGAAGTGGTATGATCTGATCAGTGACCTGCACAGTAGCGTCCTGTTACGGTGGTCTATATCTTCACATACTATTGCACTGAGTCATGGGACACTCACAGATCCTCCATCTTTCTAGATGGGATTTAGAGTACTGCTTTTAAATACTAAATGGCCATTTATGTTTGGAGAGAAGAATAAAACAACCTAATGCTGCTCTCAAACTGATAGTTGGGAGCATTAGGCAAACAGAATATTATGAAGTTGTTCAGTGACCACTGCATATACAGTACTGCAGTGTAGTCAGGCAAAGGTGAGTCCTGTGTTTTCAAGAAAGCTTTATTAAAACAAGAAGTACATCATCAGACAGCTTCACATTGGATTGATATTTTCAGCCATAACTGGCTTATCTTGTGTTACAATGAGCAAACCTTATACAATGTTTAATATGACACAACTGCCTCTTTCTGTTCTCTTTTGGGTTTCAAAAAGACTTGCTTGCTTTTGAAGGAGGATCATGTGTATAATTTTCTTATCATAAGTGGTTAATATTTCTTGTTTCCTAGATTAATGACAGAGTTCTTGTTTGGATGAGATAATGTAGTATTTGACAGCATAGTCTGAGCTACTTTGTCTTTGCTCTTGAAGGACATTCTGCCAGTTTTTATTTGGGTTATTGGGTTAAACAAATTACAAACCTTTAATTTGCCTGTTTAAATAACAAACAGCTGTGATACTGCTGTCACACCATGCCTATACCTATGATGCAATACATTCCTTTTTAAACAGCAATACAGTACTGTAATGAGACAAGCTTGTGTTGATTAAATAAGGAGAGATAAGCAACCAAATTGGTTTACTCTGAAAGTGAATCTCAGGATGGAAGGAAAGCGGTGGTTCAGTATTTTAGATAGCAGGCCTCATGTTGGCTGATGTACACAATCCAGCAGGTAGAAGTCATTTTATCTAAGTTTTATTTAATGATGTACATACAGGATGAAGAAAGCTAGGTAGCTCAGTTGGTTTAAGCATAACATTAATAACATCAAGGTCTAGGATCAGATCTTTGTCCACCATGATGGCAAAGGAGCAGTATTCCATTCTTTCACCTTACTTTGACCATATTATTAATGGTAATGTGGCCCAGTGTGCCACTCAGCACAAATGGACTTGAGAGTGACAGAGCTGCATACAAGATGGCCAGATATAACCAGGTGTGTAAATTTCAGATCCCATCTAATTGCCAAATTTAGCCATAAGTTCAGTTTGCCTGATCAAAATGGAGCCTGAACTTCATTTTCAACAGTATTAGATCCAGAGGTTTTCATCATTCGACTATAATGATCTACAATAGACTGCACAAGTCATTAACCATTTCTTTGTGATGCACATTGATAAAACCTAGTAGACTGTGGTGCAAATAAATGTTCTGTTACAAAAACAGAGATATTTAAGAGATATTTAAGTTTACTGTGGGCACTTAAACAGAAAGCCATACGGCACTATGAGAAAGCACTTGCCTGCCGCAGGGTGTAGGAAGGGGTTAGCATTGAACAAGAATGTAAACTGCCGCTGCACAGAATTGGCACGTAAAGTAAAAAGGTGCAGACAAATGACGGCCAGATTAATTACCCCTGACATGCAAGGAACTCCTCAAGGACCACAAGTGCAGCTCAGTCAGGCAGAAAGACATCTGATTGTGAAGGGAAACCTGATTCTGTTGAAACAAGAAAAAAAAAGACAACAAACATAAAAGATAACTCTCTTGATGGCTGTTAAAAGTTCTCCACCACAAGAGCTCTTACCAGTCTATTGTAGAGTAATCTGTGGAAGCCTGGTCAGTCCAAAAGTCATGTCATATTTTACGCCAAAGGGCTTTTATGTTGTTGGTTTAGCATTGACATTTAACTCAGTATGCTGCACAGATGCGACTCAGTTGAAGGAAGAGCTTAAAATAAGGCACTAGTGGGTGTTTTTCCTCTTCAAAAACACATCCATGCCTTGATGTTAAATAAAGGGTCCAATGTAAAAACCTTGCAGTCAGAAGTTATTTTCCAAAAGTTTCATTGACCCTTCTGTACATTTTAGCACTGTTCATAAGGATGTTCTCCCTTGTTAACTTCAATTTTGAAACAATTGTATTTAAACAAATTGTATTGTATTTCTTAAATGTGAAATAATGCAATAAAAGCCCTCAACACTTGATATGTGTGCTGCTGAGCTACAGTTTGTAAAGATCTGACACTATGTAGATGGAATGAGGAAAGCCTTGGGTGGTTAGTAATACAGAATTCTGACAGCTCACCTCCTTTTCTATTTTGTTGTCTTTGTCATTTTGCCGCCTGTGAATAGCGAGGGCCCTGGTACCAAACACAGTCAGGCTCATTGCCAGCAGGGGCCTGGAGAGACTCCCCTCAGAACTCTGCACGCTCACCCTCCTCCTAACCTGAATACCTCCTGCCACTGGAGCCTGGGCCTCGTCCAAGTCACGCTGCCAAGACGCGCAGAGAGAGGCCAAGCTGTGCTGCCATTTCTTCACTAAAAAGGAAACTGCACGTACCAGTGTCCACCAGGAGCTACGCTAAGAGCACCATGACTCCTGATTGCAGACCCGAACTGAACTTCAACCCAAGGTCGAGTCAAATGGTCATTTTCACATTTATTTATACCATCCTAATCTCCTAATCTGTGTATACAGTTTCTAAAGAAAATCACCTCATCTTCAAACGCAAACAATCAGTATAAAGGTCGCAGGATTATTCCTTCTAGTTTTCAAGCATATTTACAGGGTTGTTACAGGAGGTTTGAAAAAATACATAACTCGGCAACAGATCATTAGAGCCTTTTGTTCTGAATTTAAAAAAACCAGCTTAGCACAGACATTAACTGTTTCCTCTGTTTCATTTAAAGGCAAAATAAAAACCGTTCTAAAAGCAGAAGATAAAAATAAAGAATATTTGCTATGTTGTAATAGGTCTAATGAGAGTTTGGGAAGGGTTTTTGAGCAGATCAGGAACTTTACAGCATGATAAGTGGAAGCATCACAGAAAAAGAGCTGTGAGGTTTGTGCTGTATTCACCTTCTATAGCAGGATAACACATAAAAGGGAGCAGGTATCCATCGTTTCCACTCATCACTCAGTTCTGAAAAGACTTTTATCACTAAGATGCAGAAGACAGGCTCAGGATATCAGAGCTCTCAGCACCCCAAAGCAAAGCATACTGCTACCGCTGGCCACAGTGAAGCCACTGAGACCAGGTCACAGCAGATGTTGAAAACCTGACTTTTAAACTGGCAACAACAGCTAAATACCGTATTCCTACTACTGACACTGCTGATATACAGCTGCATCCGAGACAAAATGTGTGCATTCAGAGTAACAGGTCCTTTATTGTTACAGGTCACGTAGTTAAAGCTGAGAGCTTGCAGAGTCTTATCTGGTCCTCAGGCTGCATGAAGAGAATGGCAGCCACACACTGTCCAGAAAAATACTGATAAATCAGAAACTACAAACCAGTGTACCAAGTATTGTTGATTAATACCTTTAGCGCAGTAAGTGAATATGTAATCTATTGACAAGCTTTTAAAAAAAATTCAGAGTAGGCTCTTTTAATTAAAAAAAAAACTTGTCTAGATGTGCAATTTATTTTCTGAAACAGAAGAGCTCCTTTCACTTTACTCTATATAAAACTGCATATTGAACAGCCTCTCGATATAAAAAATTATATCTACCAGTTATTGACCATAAACATCAGGATGAGGATTTACTTAAGAAAAAAAATAATCATTTTTTGTAGTTTTAGCTACAAAAAAGGGTGGTGGGTCCACAAAATTATGAATACACACTGTTAACCACTTTGCAAAGAAAATAAACTATCAGGAAAAAAAATATGAATAAAATGCAACTAGGTACAGCAAGGCCACTAACATTTAAAAGGTTTCCCACTAACAAAACCCGCTTAAGACCAAAGTGTTCCGTAATATGACTTGTTTACAGAACTGGGAACAGCTGTTAATGCAACATTCACAGATGAGGACAAATTGGTAGTCCTTGAGTGCCCATACATTAGCATGTGTTAATGGGTTTCTGGTAACATGCTTGTTTGTGTCAAGCTGCACACACTTTAATGTATGAAAGGGAGATGAGCACAAGTAGAGGAGGCAAGCTGGAACTGGGAGCGGTCTGCTGGACTAGCCCTTCTTCTTAAGGCAGAATGTCTGAGACCTTGAGCCCACATTAAAGGGAAAAAAACCGCCCGAGGAACGCAGAGCTTCCTGGGTGTTGGTAAGGAAGAGTTCAGCAGCTATGTCAGCCTTTAGCTTATTTCCTAGCATTACTGTACGTACCCTTTAAACATTCTTCCTTCAAAGGGAAATGTAATTACTTTTTAACAAAGACAACTTGAGTGCTTATTTGAATTTTGACCAGCTGTCATTTGCACCTGATGCAACTGCTTTACATTCCTGCGAGCGTCAGGCACTGCAGGCTGTTGTGAAGCCCGCTCCCGATTAGCAATGAACCGTGAAGGAGACGGCAAGAGACATGAAGAGGGCTGGACCAGCAGATCCTGCTTTACTGGGCTCCTCCTTGTCTCTGCCACATCAGCTGGGGCACTTTGCCACCTCCCCAAGCTCACAGCAGAGCCAAGCATCTCCCAGGGGCACAGACGTTGACTGGAAGGCTGATGTGACCATGCCTCTGGTGCAGGCAGACGCTCTTGCCTAGTTCCAACACACAGAGGGTTCGAGCTGCGCTGCTGGCTTATCGGACTGGACCAATCAAGCCCAAACAATGCCTAAACACCCAGCCAGGCCTGCGAGGCTTATCTCCTCATGTTAAGAAACAGTATGGCACAGGATCACTTTAATCCTGACGGAAAGTGACCAGCAGAACATGCAGGGGAGCTGGGACAATTCTGTTCCAGTTGTGATACAGCTTAACCACTGGAGCATTCTCTGGAATTCTCTAAAAAAACAGAACTGATTTGCACAGAATGACACATCAGTACAAAGTGTTCTGAAAAGCAAATTATGGAACTGTGATTACACCATATTACTTTATATGCTGCTTAATTTAAGCTAACCTGAGGTATCACAGTTATGAAAATTACAGAATGAATTGCAGCAGGTAAATAGGCTACAGCTATTACTCTCAGCCCTGTTCTAGCCTTCTTTGTATACGATACATTAAACCTTTATTCTAGCTCCTTCTTTTCAGAAAGAAGTTTGTAATCTAGACATCATTGGCTTATGAGTAAGGAAACAGTTCCTAAGCAGTTGGCCAAGTGTGTGAATTTATCATAGTGGTGGTCCTGGTTAAAGAAGATATGAAAACTTGCCTGATTGGAAGAACCACAGTAATTGGCATCTGATGTCTTTATTAAGGATGCCATTTACAGTGGGATCCCAGAAGAAAAACTGCGTCTTCCCTGCTCATCGTTCTGAGCAGAACCTTTTACTGCTAAGAGGAGGTGTGGCGCAGACAGAGAACAGGGATCTGTGAGCTCTCGGCACCCTGGGGCAGAATCACACTGTGTCCATTGAGAAATCTGAAGCCACTGAGGCCAGCACTCAGGGATAAAAACACAGAAAACTCTCAAACTTCAAAACTGACAACCAAAGCTGACAAACCCCATTTTTGCTGCTGACAATGCTAAAGTACATCTAAATTTCAATTAGGTGTGAGTTCAGGATAGCACATATTTATTGCAGACCATGCCACAGAGGTTATAGCTGAGAGTCTGTGGAGACAGAGGCAGTGGGGTGGTTATCTTGGCCTTATATATAGCAATCTGTAGAGATATCTAGTCCTTATTGTGAAGAGATAATGTGACTGACACTAACGTTACATAAAGGAGATGGACTTTCAAAAAATCTGAAGATCGTTCTCTAATAATGCAAGATAATAGATGGATATTTCAATGAAAATAAGCTCGAAACAGACCGGTTTCAAGCTCTTTGGATAGCATACTGAGAAACAAATGAATAAATACAGAAGAATCGATTCTCAAGTTGAAAGTGGTAAAAAGGGTTGAAGGCAGCTTTAAAACTAAAATAATATGTGCTGTTGAATTGATTTTAGATTTGAACAGGTAACATCATTTTGAACCACTAAGATTTATATTTGAGAAACCAACTAATAAGTACTTGATTTATGAGGTTACCTGATGGACCAGCTATGAGTGGTGGCAGTCTAAAAAAAACCCACAGAGTTAGAATATTCAATGCTGCCAAGAAAAAAAAAAGATTACCTCCCATTGGATTCTTAGCTTGCTTGTGGTGCAAGCAAGCCGCCCAACTCTCATGAAATGGACAAGAGTTCATGAAAAGTACCAACTATTTAGAATTGACACAGTTGTCTGTTTACTTAGGAACTTCTTGCTCTCTGAAGCTTAAGAGTTTCCTACCCCCCTTCTTTTTCTTATCTCCAAAGTATTTAAGTTCACAGAGTGGCCTAAAGTTTTGCTACAGGCTACGGACAGAATGGCACATTTAGCACTCTTGCGTTCCTTAACAGCTGTCAGACAAATAATAATCCCTATCCTGGGGTTCAAGATTAGCCGATCCAGTAGTCCCTGATGGGGGAATACGTGACCTGTGCAGGCGAACATTTCTGTCTGCCTGTCCAAACACATGGGTGGAAATTAGCTCTTCTTAGTTTGCAATTACAAAAGGTGGGTTCAACATCAAAGTGTAAAAAAAATAATCATATTCCTT